TTACTTTCTGGAAATAAAGAACGGTGGATATTCATTGTTTTTCCTTTGACTTCTTTTATATTATGACTTCATTTTGTGGGTCTTATTTCTTGTTTATTTGCTGTGATTTAAATAATTCTTCAGATTAACTGCACCTGTGGATAGTCTCAGAATAATCTCTGGTTACATCTTTCACCCACCTGGGCAAATAAACGACCTCATTTTCATTCCACAAAAACTCAAATGTAAATAGATCTATTAGTCTTTAAGGTACCACAACAGTTCATTTCTGGTATTTTGTCATATATGCTGGAACAGATTACAGTGGTGACTCACTTTACGACTGCCCCGCATTACGACGAATCCGCTTAACAACTATTTTTTCAATCGCAATTGCGATCACAAAACAATGGTCTAAATGGGGGAATTTCGCTTTGTGATGATTGGTTCCCTGCTTCAGGAACTGATTCTTCGCAAAATGACATTTTTCTAACAACTGATCGGCGGTTTCAAAATTGCCACCAGGTAATTAAAATGGCTCCCCCGCTGTGTTTAGGGACGGATTCCTCGCTATACAGGCAACGAAAATGGCCGCCGTATGGAGGATCTTCACTGGACGGTGAGTTTTTACCCCACTGGAATGCATTAACCGGGTTTTAATGTGTTTCAATGGGATTTTTTATTTTGCTTTACGATGTTTTCGCTTAATGGCGATTTTCCTGGAACGGATTATCATCATTAATTTTTATTTATTTATTTATTTATTTATTTATTTATTTATTTATTTATTTATTTATTTATTCCCTGCCCGAGGCACCACTGTAGTAGACTTTTTGAAGAATTTGTCCTTGCTGCATTTTGTCAGTAATATTAATGAAACAATAATCTGGAAAACATCTCAGATACTAGAAATCTCACAATTAACTAGCTATGAACAAAAAGACTCTTTATTTCCTTATTTTGAATTCAATAGTAACCAATGCATGAACAAGGCTTAATGTCAAGGTCAGAATGTAATCAGTGGATTAGGTTACAGTTTAAACCATGCACCAGTCAGTTACTTTCTGAAATAAATTACACTAAGCCACATCAGATGAATTCCAATTTAAGACTCTCAGCATACGTAACTACTTTTGTTGCTAGTTTACATAGGAAGTGTAAACAGAGAAAATAAAATATGGCATAGATATTCAAGTACTTCAACTAGATTGATATCTGCATTTTGTCTCTACAGATATTAACACAAGCCTCATTAACAATTTTCTATGGACGCACTAGAAGACTCCGAATTCCTACTGTTATCTAGGGAACAGAGCAAGCTACATCTACCAGCATTAACAAATAGTATCAAGAATGGGTTAACCGCTAGCCAAATGAACCAGTGAGGATTTGGTGACGCAACTACTCCATAAATTTCTTTGACTCAAATGTGCCTACTTTAATTGCAACTTACTATGCTAAAGTAAGTCAAAGTTAGAGGGGGCCTATTTGAATTAAAAAACAACTTAAGACTCACTAAATTCCTATTGATTCAATGGTTCTACTCTAGTGCAACTTACTACACTAAGCAACAGAAATTCAGCCAGTATATTATTTAGGAATCACTCTATTCTTGAATAAGGGGAACACAGATCAGGATCAGTTTGCTCTGTGCCATTCTAATAATCTTCCAACTCGACTCTTGTCAGGGTCCTTAACATATTTTACATCTTTTCAGGTCACTGGGTAATGCAAAAGGCCAGGTTATAGGTTTAAAGATGCAGACAAGGCAGAAGGCCACCACCTGAAGTTTACAAAGCTGGGCACCCTGTTTTATGTTTCTTTCCCCCCTTCCTTCCAGCCAACAGGAGACAGCCTCCCATTGGCATCCTAATACAGTCATCAAGAATGGAGTGAGTGAAAAGCTTTAAAAGGGTAATAGTCACCACCATCTCCGATTCTTTCTTGAAAGAAAAACAGAAGATGTCTGCTGTTTTATACTCTCCCCCTTTCCCTTGCCACTGATCTTTTGGTTCTTTGGATCTAAAATTACTAGTGGTCTGGGCCACACACTTGTTCAAAGGAAGTATTCATCGCTAGTATGCATAAATTTTTAAAAAAACATAAAACAATTTAAAACTATGAATGTTTATGTAATACTTAAAGAACTTTGAAGCAAAGTTAGAAGGTCAAAGAATAATCAAGTAAAATGGGGCTACTTAAATACAGGAAAAACTTTCTGTGACTGAGGAAATTCAATTAATGCAGCAGTTACATGCATGTAATTTACACAACACCACACATACAAAAGAAGATCTAGCAAATGGCAGAGATAATGCTATTGAAGTAGCCTGCTTCTGGTCAAAAACAGTTTAAAAACCTTAACATTTTAATTTGTCTTCAATTTTATTTATATTTCATTCGTAATCATAGTTTTAACTTGTACAACATTCTGATAAGAATAATTTAAAAAAAGTTTGGGGGGAAAATGACATTCCCAGCTAAACCCAAATGAAAAAAGCTGTGTCTAGTAACTACAGTGGAGCTTCCACTTACAAAAGGAAAAAGGCAGGAAAATCCCGGGCATTCCTGCCGCGGTGAAAGCCACCATGGGATGCCTCCCAGGGACCGCCACCGCATGGATAAACGAAGACATAAATGTACAGTGGGGAGGGGGCGGCTCCTTACCTGTGAAAGGCTCTGCTCTGGTCACCAGGAGCAGACCAATCAAAGTCAGGAGGCAAGTTGTAACTTTCCCCATAGTTTGTTCCTCCGAAGAAAAAAAACCCTTCCGGTCCTCCCAGGTAGGAGGGAGGGGAGGTGAAGAAAGCACCTCAGCCTCTCTCCACGGTCCTTTCTGGATGGCAGCAAACGCCCGCTTTGTTTTGAGAAGGGATGACCAAAGCACGTCCGTGCCCTCAGTGCCGGCTCCAGGGAAGGAGAACTCTGAGAAAGCCTGCACTGCCTGTTGCACCTCTCTTCCTCCGCGATAGCCCTTGGCTAGCGTCTGGCCCTCTTCATGAAGCCCACTCTCCCTTTCGGTTCCAGCACCCCGCCGCCGCCTCACCGTCCCCCGGCAGGCAGCCAAAAGCAAGCTGTCAGGTCATGCCCAGTGCCTACAACACTGTCTTTCCCCAGCTAGGGGGCGGGTGGCATCAAAAGCTGCACCCCCGCCAGCCACTTGCCTGACCACTGGTGCGGAAGGCGCCACTTGCCTTCTCAGTGAGGGAAACCTAATGGGACGAGAGGAGGCGGTCCGGCGGGCACCAGCCAGCGAGCAGCCAGCAAAAAGGCACCAATGCCAGCTGTGCTGAAAGACCGGGAGACCAGCAGAAGGGAACAAATCGAGGCATGGCTCTCCGGTGAGGGGCGACGAAGGGCGTTTGACACCCCCCCAGAATCCGATCGACAATCAATAGGTACAGTGGTGCCTCGCTTGATGATGTTAATTCGTTCCAGCGAAATCGCTGTAGAGCTAAACCGTTGTCAAACGAAATAAAAAACCCAATGAAACGCATTAAAACCCGGTTAATGCGTTCCAATGTGCTAAATACCTAATCATCCAGCGAAGATCCTCCATAGGGCAGCCATTTTCCGGTGCCTGTAGAGCAAAAGGTCAGTCCTAAAAACAGTGGGGCATTTTGCACAGCGGTGGCCATTTTGAAACCCAATGATCAGCTGTTGGGAAATCGTCGTAAAGCGACAAATCTTTCGTCGCCAAGCAAAAAAACCCATTCAAACATCGTTTTGCGATCACAAAAGTGATTGCAAAAACATCACTGTGAAGCGGATTTGTCGTTATACGGGGTAATCGTTAAGTGGGGCACCACTGTACCACTAATAAATAGACTCTCACTGCCACATCCTTGGAATGAATTGATGGGTGGGCATAAGTCCTCTGGAAGTTTACCCGGGGAACCTCAGGAGGCGGCTGTCACGGCGGGGGGAAAGCCCAGGCTTCCCCAGCGGCGGCCATCTTTTTTGAGGGGTATTTTTTTCTTCGGCCAGAACAGATTAATCGGTTTTCAATAAATTCCTATGGGAAATGGTGCTTCGACTTACAAAAATTTCGAGTTACGGCCACCCTTCCAATACGGATTAATTCTGTAAGTCGAGGCACCACTCTACTTGATTTTGTACTACACCAGAATAGAGCACATAGACACACCTCAAGGCCCCTGACACCTCCAAATGTTCCAATGCATGCATTCTAAAAAAAAAAGATAGTGCTTCACTTTTCAAGGACCAGTAACTCTTAAAACCAGGCACACCCCTGCACCTTGTTCTTATTCACAAGTAGGAACATGCTACCTGAAATCTGTGTTCATTTTGTTTGATTTTTTTTTTAAGCGGAGCCTCCATACACAACTTATGGATTCTTTGTTTTAGATGGATGGCATGTGAGCTTTCCAGAGAATTCTGGTGATACAACTCCCTTCTCAAATTTAAAAAAAAGTCAGGACAAGGGTTTTGCCACAAAATGTGCATGTGCTGTGGTTTTAGGTTAAACAGAATGATAAGGAGCCACCACATAATCAGGGAAGTTGTGTTTTAGAGATAACGTTTAACCTCTTTTGCCATCAAAGCAAGGACGGGGGCAATGTCATAAGCAGTTTATGAATAAGAAGACTACCTTCCAAAGACACATACTTCCTCTGAAACTGAACCCTCACTATTTATTTCAGCACCAATGAAAGAATATATATAAACAATCTGGATACAGATAAATGTCCAATGCTTTTGCAAAACAGTACAGAATACGTGGCAAAATATTCTAGAATGGAAAATATGGAAACCTGCCTTCAAAGTGGGCATATTTTGAATATTAAAGCTCCTCCTCACATCCCAAAGTGCCCAAAGGCTTCCCCAGAGCAAAAGGGTGAATACAAAGCATTCAATTTAAATAAACTATTTCTAGCTTCCAGATCCATTTTCTGCCAATGTAACTATGGCAACAGGATTTTGCCCAATTTTCATGCTTTAGAAATTTGTACCTATTCATCTGTAAACAAGCTCTTCTGCTACTCATTTAAAGATCTTACCTTTTTCTTGTCTCTCATGGACCCTTTGCCTCGGACCATTATCTTACATCCAGTTTCAGCCTCAAGCTGTTTAGCTGTTAACCCTCTGGGTCCAAGGATTCGTCCAACAAAGTTAAACTGAAATTAAAAAAGAGAGAAGAAAATCGTCTTCTTTTTCTTAAATTCAATAATAAATGTTTAGAAAACAACCAACACAAGCTGAACCTCAATACAAACAGAATCTCATTGCTTCAAGGTGGAAAAACCATGGTAACAAGTTTCAGAATTTATATAAGTTATTTTAACTGTTCATCTTACTGTTAATATCTATAGAAAATAAATGCCTCCTGCAAGACAACACAGTTCAACAGGCTCTTGGATGTGAAGAAAGAAACAATTTGACAGTTTCTCAGAAATACTTATTACTCAGGCTATTAAAGAAAAGAGAAAAAAACTGCACTAGTTTGCCTGGTAATAATCAAACCTTAATTCTATGACTGAGTTATGGATATTTCTCTTCATTTTTGAAAGGATAGGGAGGAGTAAAAGCAAATTAAAAACAGCTAAAATTTTTAGGATTATCTGTCATTCAGATTTTTGTATTTCCTTAACTTCTCAAAACGATCAAACATGCTTATAAGTGAAAATGACCCTCTATACAATTTCCTAACAGACAGACACAAGAGGCCAATTTACTGATTTATTTATTCATGTCAGAACACTGCAATACACAAAAGGACTGTATTAATATAGACTTCTAAGACATTTTAAAAATCATTAATATCAAACAAGGATATATATTAAATACAACAATATATTTCATTATATGTTAAAATAAATTAATAATTTTGGACCAAAATCATGCTACATCACATTATCTCCACCCCTGACAAGATCTCCTCCTGTGTACATTGCAGGACAATATGGAACTTCTCTCTCTCTCTCTCTCTCATTTCTTTAAATTGTCCTTAAATTATGCAATACTTCTTCATAATTTATTCAGAGGCTTCCACATATCTTATCAAGCATTATACCATAGCACTAGCTATTCACTAGGTGGATAATTTAAGCTCTCTTTTTCTTGTGCTGCTCTCTTTTTTTATTAATATTTTATTTTTAACAAAGGGTGACAAAAAAGAAAAGGGGGATTGAGGTTAAGGGGGAAAAGGAGAAACAATGACATATTAACATCCATTCTATACATATTGCCATATCGAAATTCCAAATTACTCTTTTTACTATTTTCTGCCTTCCAAATTTCTCATTTCAATGTATGCTCTTTATACGATGTCTGTTGACTCAATCCATTTATAGAATAAGTCCCATCTTTCAGTTGCCTTTTGTAAAGGACAGTCCTTCATCACTTCTGATAAAATGTCCATTTCCACTGTTTCCTGTATCTTCTCTATATGATCTTCTTGTTTCGGTACCGTCGGACTTTTCCAATTTTTGGCATATAGGATTCCTGCTGCAGTGACTATGTATATAACTATATACTCCTTTGTCTTATCTATGTTATCAGATATCATACTTAATAAAAACAGTTCTGGGGTTAATGGAACCTTACAAAGCAATATTTATTGCAGCACAGCATGTACTCTTTTCCAATACTGTTTCGCTACTCTACATGACCACCACATATGATAATAGCTTCCCACTTCTGCTTCACATTTCCAACACACATTTGATACATCTGTATACATCTTTGACAACTTTTCTGGAGTCATATGCCACCTGTAAATCATCTTGTATATATTCTCCTTAAAATTAACCGATCTT